GTATGTTGGTATACCTCTTTAATAAATTAATAATATAATTAATATAATATAATATAATATAATAATATAATATAATAATAATATCAATATAATATAATTTTATAATAATAATATAATTAATAATAATAATAAATGACATTTTTCTATTACAATAAAATTTGCTCAATAAACTCAACAAATTCAATGTATTTAACTCAAGCAATACAAGACAGCGTCGAGCTGTCATAAATCATAAAGGTTCTAGATGGTTATGTCTATCTCATTTTTCGGTCCTAGTGAAACTAACTCGAACTTGAATTATCGTAAACACCCGGTGACGAGCTTCCGGGCCTCATCCGGGTGGCGCCGCCAGGCTGTCGTCGGGATCGGTACGGGCGGGTGCGTTCGGTCTTCGAGATGCGGTGGCGCTAATTTGCGCCCGTAATTGGCGAATGCGGGCGTGAATCCGGTCGCGTCGTGACATGCGCTGTTATTGGGATCTGATATGGGGGCGGAGCAAATATATATAGTTACAAATATGGCGACGAAGTGCTTGTACATTTACATTGTACTTATAGAAAGAGCTCGATTTTAATTATAAAATGTTAACTATTTATCAAATTTGTGAGTGAGCAGGTACAAATCCTGCAGAAAGAAAGTTTATAGGAGAGAGAGTTTTTAAGGCTGTACACATTATTAAATGTGGTAAAAATATGAAATCAGACGGGAAGGTCTCATTTACAGCACTGTGTTTGCAAACTTCGAATATTAGATTTACTCCACATGAAATTAAAGGAGATGTAAGTCCTAAAGGTATATTATCATGTACCTGTTCCTGCAAAGCAGGATTAAGAGAAAAATGTAAGCACATTATTGCCGTTTTGCTGTACTGCTATCAGTAAGTACACCTAACCTAATTTAAAAAGAAATAATTATTATTATTCTTGCTTGCTCAAGAAAAGATTTTTCTGTATTTTTTTTCAGGAATAGTGATAAAATAGAAGTCTTATCATGTACCGATAAGGAATGTGAATGGAAGAAAAAGCACAAGAAGGTTTTGCAAAATTATAATCCTGTTCCTCTTTCCCAACATGAATGTTTTTCTCCTTCACAACCTCCAAAAAAAATTCAAATTGTTAAGGGGGCTTTAAAATTAATAGGAAAAAAAGGTAAAGAGAGAGAAAAGACTGAAGAAGAAATAAAAGAATCATTAAAAAAACCTGATGCTGCCTGTCATACAAAAGCTGAGAAGAAAAAAGAAGTCCTTGCACTTTCTCTGGTACAAGAAACTGAAATTAGAAATATTATACATACTAAAAGATCTACTTGATTCTGCTTTAACTAAACACATGTGAGTAGAAAATAAATTTTAAAAATTAAACTTCAAATGTCTTTTTAACATAACATAATTTTAATTTATAAACGTCATAATTTGTATGTTTAAAGGTCAGGACGACACACACTAGTGAGCACAAAGAACCCTCTCGTTGTGCGCCACCTTGTCGTGGTGAGAGGGCTCACCGTGGAATGGCCCGTTGGGGTCTTTTCACGGTGCTAAGAGCGCACGGTTCCTTCTTAGGAGGGAACGGTGGTCCGGCGACCCTTCTGGGACTTGTCCCGATTCGCCGGTAGGGGTTGGCGGCCCTGACTTCAATCGCCCGGTGGCACGGCACCGTTAAGGGAAGATTTTTATCTCTCCTCCGTGCACGGGCGGCCAGGCTCGTTAGCCCTGTGGGGCGACTGATCAGGGGGGTGCTCCCCCCAGGGTTGAGATTCGTCCTAGCCGGGGCTGCTGCTCCGGAGGGACGGATCTCTGGTGGGTCACCTCGGTGACCTGTCTAGAGGGGTGAATGTGGGTGCCGGTCCTCCTTGTGTCTGGGGCCGACTCTTCCTTTTCCGGTTTTGGAGGAGGAAAGAGTGCGGTCTGGCATGGGGGGGAAGCGGTGTCCCACAATGGTGGCTCTCCCTCTCCGACCAAACGGCTCGTGGACGTGATCCTTGAGTACGCGGTCGTGAAGGAGAGCGACGGGCTGTCGATGTCCCGGAATTCCCGGGCTCGTCGGGCTGGGCCATTCCGAGCCGCTTGGACGTATTCCGAGGCGGGGTCGGAAGGCGGAGCGGTAGCTGCTCGGGCCGTTCAGACGTATTCCGAGGCAGGGTCGAGCAGTGAGGACCAATCACTTCCGGAGTGCGTCCCGGTTTTACCGGTTCCGGAGTGTTCGGTCGAGGAGTGTGTTCGCTGGTCGCCACGGCGGGTAAGGCGCGGAGTGGGTCGCGACACTCCCCGCCCCAACCGTCCGTGGGGCCCACCGCGTAGCTGCGCCCACTGCGGTGCCCACATTGTCGGAGGTGTGGGACCCCCGAAAACCCCTGGGTAAAACCAGGGGTGAGTAAGGGGCCGGAGGCCAGTGCACCGGATGGTTATTCCCGGTGCCCGCGCCATATGCTGACCTCCCGGGGGAACTCGGGACCTAGAGGGCACGCCCGGTCAGCGGAGCCGCAGTGGGTAGTGGGATCGAAACAAAAATGTTGCTCAATGAATATATAGATGGTGGTTGTCATCAGGAGGTATCTCTCGCACCCGAGAAACTAAGTTTCTCTGTTGAGAGACTAACTCTTGTAGTTGGAACGGGAGGGGAGGCATCTGAGGGAGGCATCTCTAGAGTTGGGCGTCTCACCTTGAGTCTCAGTACTGAGATTGAGGGGTGGCGCCGACTCTGATGACGAGATGATGGGAAAAGGGATGGGTGGGAGTTTACCTCCCTCCTCCCTTCCCCATCCTCACCGACCTTGTCCAAGGTCGAGAAAGGGCACCCCTGCTGGTACCCCGGCTTCTTCACGGAATCCGTCTAAAGCCGGGTCCCCAAAGCGACCGCAGGGTTTATCGAGAGCGGGGTCGGAGGAGAGCTTCTGCGAGGCTCAATCCGTAGACCTCTGCTCAGACGAGGAAGGGGACGGTTACGAGACGAGGTTCTCGTCCGTAACCAGAACCAGCGCCTCGTCGACTGGGACCAAGAAGCCACGAAAAATCAGGGAGGAGACCACCACCCTACCTGATTCTCCCTCCTCTGACGAGAGGAGGAAAAGGAGGGAGAAGAGAAGGAGAAGGGGCGGCCTCTTGTCCTCCGATAATGAGGATTTGGAGATCCTCAGGCTCAGAAAGAGGATCTTAGGGGACGCCCCGCAAAGGATCCCTCGCAAATTGGGCAGCACACCGTCCGAAAAAAGAGGGAGGCAGCCGTGGAACGGATCGAGGAGCTCCACCGCACAGTTGCCGAGAGGATCATGAATCCTCTCTTTGAGACGGACCGTACGACTGAGCAATACCACAAGCATGTGGAAAGGATTAGAAGCAAGGTCGTAGAGTACAAATCGGCACCGGTCCAAGAGATCCTGAACGACCTCAGGGTCGGCGAGTTCGGACTCCATCCTTGAGGTCGCCAGGGTCTCGAAAGGCCTCAACGGGAGCTTAAAGAAGCTCCTCAATGTCGCGGCTACCTCCCTCGAGGCAGGTGCAGCGACCCTGGCGGAAAGAGCGGAGAGGGGGTACTATGACCCCGTAGCGGGAAGGGCCCCCTCTCCCGCAAACGCACACACGGAGGAAATCCTAGCGGCAAACCGTCGCTTGGAAAAGGAAATAGCAGACCTCCGTAGGGAGAAGGAGGAGAGAGAGAGAACTTCCCCTCCTTCTTCACCCCTCACTACCCGGTCCAGAACCAGGATCGTTGAGGAGAACGAGGCGGTGGAGGAAGTCATCATGGGGGATTGGTGGAGGTTCCACTCCCCGAGCCCTCCCCTATGATGATGATCACTAGGGAGGACCTAGACAACTTCCCGGCAAAGAGACCCCCGATTAAGGGGGTCGTAAAGGTCTTAGAGGACCACTCTTTGCCGGTGATTACGAGCAACGTCCTCCTACCCGGCGGCCTGGTCGAAGCCGTGACACACGCGGTAATGAAGCAGGTTGGAGAAATGCTCCCCCATTTGATAAGGGAGCTCACGGGAAATAGTCCCCCCTCCTCCTTGCTTGACCCCCCTCCCTCCAAACCTTGTGGCGGTAAGGGTCCACCCTCCGTTAAGAGGATGGTTCCCCCTGTCTGGGATTCAAAGAGAGAGGGTGGAAAAAAGGGGAAGAGGAAGGTTTCGAAGCAGTCCGTCGCTGTGCGACAGCCCACTGCCGACCCTTCCTCTCCCCCTAAAGGGGGAAAGAAAGTTCCGACCGCAAAGTCGGGTCAATCGATCCCCACTGGAGGAACAACTGCTGCAGTCGCCATTGCCTCCGTGCAGCAACAGCAAAAGCAGCAGCAAGATTTACCACCTCTGTTGTTTACAGAGGTGGTGAAGAGGAGAAAGAAGAAGGAGACTCCTCCCACCATGGCGGCAAAGGGCGCCCAAGGGACCGCAAAGGCGGCTCCCAAAGCCGCCCCCAAATCCTCTTCCTCTCCGCCCAAACCGGGCACTGGGGGAGAGAAAAAAGGGAAGAAAAAGAAGAGAAAGGCGCCCAATACCGCGGCGATTGCCCTCACATGCCCGGACGGCGAATATGCCGCGGTGGTGGCAAAGATCACGAAAGTGATCCCCATTAAGGAAATGGGGATCCCCTTGATCAGGTCGAAAACGGGCCAAACTGGGGCCTTTATCTATGAGATATCGGGCCCCAACGGCCATGAGCGCGCGGATAGGTTGGCGCAAAAGATGCGCAACCTATTCGCGGACAGACCCGAGGTGCGGATCAACCGACCCCAGAAAACGGGGGAGATCCGCATCCGGGATCTGGCACTGTCGGCCACGGCCGAAAACGTTGCCCGGGCTGTGGCGGAGATGGGAGGCTGCTCCCCCGCCGAGGTCAAGGGTGGGGGGACATCAAAACCCCTCCCCCCACGCCCAGAGGCCTTCCTACGGTCTGGGCGAAGTGCCCCCTTAAAGCGGCCAAATAAAGGTCGCCCCAGGGAGGGGCACATCGCGATCGACGGGCTCTTTAGAGCCCGAGTCGAGCTCTTAGAGGTGCGCCCTCTCCAATGCTTCAAATGCTTGGAGAAGGGCCACGTCAGGGCGAAATGCCCCAACACAAATGTGGACCGCAGCGGTCTATGTTACCGCTGCGGAGAAACGGGGCACGAGGCCCGCGTGTGCACGGCGCAAGCAAAATGCGCCATGTGTCTAAACGCGGGTCATCCGGCCTCCCACCGTATAGGGGGTCGGCGAGCAAACCCCTAAAGGGGGCAAAAAAAAGAAGGGGGGAGTAGCCACACCGGCACCCATCCCCCCTCTCAAGAAGGCGGAAATATCGGCGGCAGCGGCGAAGTCGCCCATCATGAGGGAACTTAGTTCCCCTATCGAGAGGATGGATGTAGATCCACCGCCGGCTGTCGCCGATAAAGTAGGGAAGAGTGGCCTGGAGGAGGGACAGGTTCCAAGGAACCAATAATGTCCACGAAACTCCTCCAGGCCAACCTGAATCACGCTCGCCGGGCCCAGGATTTGTTCCTAGGGGACCTGTGCGAGCGTGATGCAGAATTGGGAGTGGCGGCGGAGCCGTATCGGGTGCTGGACTCCAATCCTAATTGAGTCTCGGCCTCGTACGGTTCCGTCGTCATTGTGAGGAGGCACTCCCCGCGTTCCCCCCCTTACCCTAGTGGAAAGGGGAGTGGGGTTCGTCGTAGCGCGGTGGGGTGCCTTCTACGTGGTGGGGGTTTACGCCAACCAAAGCGGCCTCACCCGGAATTCCGGGAACAATGCGGGCAATGGGCGGGCATTCGCCGATGCCTCTCCCACCCCGTACTGGTGGCCGGGGACTTCAACGCCTGGGCTCAGGCGTGGAGTTCCCGGTACACCAATATCAGGGGTGAGGCCGTGCTGGACTGGGCGGCGGGGCTGGGCCTCCTGTTATTAAACAGGGGGTCGGTAAGCACCTGTGTTCACCCCCGAAGGGAGTCCATCGTTGACTTGATGTGGGCATCTTTCCGGGCGGTAGACTTGGTAAGAGCCTGGAGGATGGCGGACCGAGAGTCTTTTTCGGACCATCTCTACATAGAGTTGGTCTTGACTGCCACTCCCCAGAAAGTGCTGACCCGCCGCCACCGACAAAGGGGCGATAAACCTCCCAGAAGATAGGCCCTGGCCCAATTGGACCAGGACAGATTGGTGGCGGCGGCCTTGGTGAAGACGTGGGCGGATCCTCCCGTCCTCGTCGACACCGAGGTCGAGGTCGAGGGGATCGGGGACATGGCCGAGCGTATGTGCGATGCGGCCATGCCCCGGTCAAAACCCGCTCCTCGTCGGGCCATATACTGGTGGACGGAGGAGATCGCGGATCGGAGACGCGTAAACGCCGCCAGACGCGGTCTCCTCAGGGTCCGACGACGGGCGGGAGGCAAGGATGACAGCACTGTCGAGGCGCGCGGGGAGTACCGGGCTGCAAGGTGCTCTCTGCGGACAGCCATCGACAGGGCCAAGGCTAAAGTCTGGGAGGAAATGTTGGCGGAGCTAGACCGGGACCCTTGGGGGCGTCCGTATCGTCTGGTGCTCAATAGATTGAGACCAGCGGCGCCCCCAATCTCGGAGACGCTAGACCCTGGGTTTCTCGATCGGGTGGTGGGAAGTCTCTTCCCAATCAGGGATATTCACATCCCCCCTAGGGGGGATCTCTCCACCTGGTCCGGGAACCTAGAGATATCCGAGAGGGAGCTCTCCGAGGCGGCCAAAAGGCTGGGGGCTGCTGGCAAAGCCCCCGGCCCGGACGGGGTTCCCGGTCGAGTGTGGGCCTTGGCCTTTGGCGTGGTGGGTGCCCACCTGAGAAGATTGTACAATGCATGTCTCAGGACGGGCGCCTTCCTCTCCTTGTGGAAGAGAGCGAACTTGGTGCTCCTTTGCAAGGAGAGGAAACCGGCGGAGCAACCTTCGGCTTACAGGCCGATATGCCTGCTGGACGAGGTCGGTAAGTTATTCGAGAGAATTATTGCCGGCCGAATCGTCCAGCACCTGTCGCGGGATAGTCCCAACCTTTCGGAGGACCAATTTGGATTCCGGGAGGGCCGATCGACGACAGATGCAATCACGCATCTGCGGGCCCTCTCGGACCAGATTATAGGGGAGGGAGACGTGGCGTTGGCGGTGTCGCTGGACATCGTCAACGCCTTTAACTCCCTCCCCTGGGAATACGTGGGGGAGGCCATGGAGTTCTATGGCTTCCCCCCATACATAAGAGAGGTCCTTTAGGACTATTTCCGCGACAGGACGCTCCAGCTGAAGGATCAGCTGGAGCGAGTAAGCCGAAGGAAAGTCTACTGCGGGGTTCCCCAGGAGTCGGTACTAGGACCCCTATTGTGGAACCTCGCGTACGACAGAGTGCTCCGCACGGCGCTTCCCCCGGGCTGTCGTCTGCTGTGTTACGCAGACGACACGCTGGTGGAGGCCCGGGGGAGGAACTGGAGAGAGGCTCGGGATGCGGCAAACGCCGCTACCCGGGCGGTCGTATACTCGATAAGAGCCATGGGACTCGAGGTCGCCCCACAGAAGACAGAGGCCCTGTTCTTCTATGACAGGGCCTTGGGGCGGCCTCCCCCTACCCAAATCTGGGTAAGGGAGGTCCGTGTCCGGGTAGGGACCCAGATGAAATATCTGGGCCTCATCCTGGATGGCCTTTGGGGGTTTGAGCAGCATTTTGCTGGAATAACCCCCAAAGCGGATAGGATGGCGAATGCGTTGGGTCGCCTCCTTCCGAACTTGGGTGGTCCGAGGAATAGAGTCAGAAGACTCTACGCGAACGTCGTGCAGTCGGTGTTCCTTTATGGGGCACCGGCGTGGGCCGACAGGGTCGTGGCCAGCCGACGAATAAAGGCGATGCTACATCGCCCGCAATGCCGGCTGGCCATTAGGCTAATAAGGGCCTACTGCACGACGTCGTTCGCGGCGGCCACGGCTCTGGCGGGCCTCCTCCCGGTCGAGTTCCTGGCAAACTCGTACGCCGAAGTATACCGGCGTACGAGGGATCCGGACCGACACGGGAGCGCCCGCCTCCTACCACAAGCCGTGGCCAGGATAAGGAAGGATGCCCGCCAAAGAGCCATGGAGGCGTGGCAGGCCTCTTTAATTGGCTCCACGGCGGGCAGATGGACCACCCAGGCCATCCAACCCTGTCTCCCGGAATGGGCGGACAGGAGGGGACACGGTATCGGGTTCCACCTCACGCAGGTACTCACCGGGCACGGATGCTTCGGTGACTACCTGTGTAGGATCGGCAAAGAGTATACGACCGAGTGTCACCACTGTGCGGTCGGTCGGGACTCGGCGCGGCACACTCTCGAGGAGTGTGAAGCGTGGGAGGAAGAGCGTCGAGTTCTGACCGCAGTGGTCGGCGGAGACCTCTCCCTGCCGGCATTGGTGAGAGCAATGCTGGAGGGAGAGGACAAATGGAGGACCGTCTCCTCCTTCTGTGACAGAGTCATGTTGCAGAAGGAGGAGGCGGAGAGAGAGAGAGAAGAGGGGTGGCGGGTGGGGGGGGGGGGATAACGCTCCTCCTCAGCCGCCGCCGACACAACCCCCCCCGCCCTTAAGGGGGCAGGTAACAACAGGGTCTTTCCGGGTGGTGACGTTCACCAAAACCCCGGGGGGGATCTCCCTGGGAAGGGTCCCTTCTTCTTCTGGGACCCTCCCAACTTGGAAGGCCGGAGGGAGAAGGAAAAACTCCTAGGGAATTCTAGAAGTTATATCTCTCCCCCCCTCCGACGGGGGGTCAGTTGGGAGCGGAGGCTCCCGACTAGCCTCAGCCCCCCACCAAACACGGGAGGGCGGGGAAAGGTTGCGGTAGCCCGGCCTTTTCCGGAAAAGAGGGCAATAACGAGAAGGAGGGGGGAAATAAAAATTTTCCTCCTCCTCCGCGAAGAGACCGGAAAACGGTCAGACCTGAGGGGGGGTGAGATGAATACCGCTGGTGATGGCCTCACCCTCCCTCTACATGGTCTAGGAAGGCTACCGGCAAGGGTTTTAGTGGGTATGCCTGGAACTTATTCCCAGGAGACTCCCACATAACCCACGGGATTCCCCCCGAAACCCGTGGGTATCCATAAAGAATTTTTCCTGCCTCACCAAAAGAAAAAAAAGAGCACAAAGAATGAAAGTACAACTAATAGTATTGAAAAACAAATTATTCAAATTATTTTTGAATTTCAAGATAATGTATTGATGACTGCAGTAAAAAATTTACCAGTGTGTGCAGTACAAGATTGTTGTTTTAATACGATTAATAAACTCAGCAAAAATGTTGAAGAAATTTGTGTGAAAACTAAAGACTGGTATGCTAACTGGATACAAGAAAGAAGATATAGGATAACAGGTTCTACTTGTTATGAATTCTTTACATATACGAACAATAAAAATGCAGACTGGAATAAGAAGTGTGATAATATTTTAAAGCCAAAAAATTTTAAAACAGAGTTTACTGAATACGGAAAAAAGTTTGAGGCAGAAGCACGCAGAGCCTTTGCAAAAGGTACAAATTCTGAAGTAGTCGAAATTGGATTGGTTATCTCAAGACTCAATCCATGGTTGGCCTATTCACCGGATGGAATTATTGTTAAAAGTGACAAACCAGTTGCTTTATTAGAAATAAAGTGCCCATTTATTGGCAAAACTGCAAATATTGAAAACACCGTGAATAGTCTAATAAATAAGTGCTTACAGAAAAAAAAAGAAAATATTGTCTTAAAAGAAAAGCATTGGTATTACGGACAAGTACAATTAGGCATGGCAGTGTTAAATTTAAATTTAACATATTTTGTCATTTATTCTAGTTTTGACAAGCAATATTTTACTTTAAGTGTTGAAAGAAACGATAATTTTATTTTTTTAATGTTACATAAATTAAAAGAAGTTTATTATAGTGTAATGTTACATAAGGTTTGTTTATTAAAAAAAGAATATGATAAGGATAGTCAATAAGTATAAAAAAACAATTAAAAGTTCTAAAATATTTATTCTAGTTAGTTTTATCTAGTTTTGATAAAAAATGTTTCATTTAAGAAGTTTAAAGAAAAAATAATTTTATTTTTTTAATGTTAAGTGAGATTGTTTCTTACATGAAAAAAGAATGCAATAAAAAAAGTAGTCAATCGCTTAGGAGCATTGGAAAATAAGTATAAATAAGTATATTACTTTTAAGAAATATTTTTATTTTTATAATATGTAAAGAAAGTTTATATCAAAATAAAGTTTAATTTTGTAAATTAAACACAACGTTTATTTTTTGACAAATGCTAAATGAATACAATTTTACATTTTCATAAATTTTGAATCACTTAGAATTGGTGAAGACATATTAATTGTTGCACAAATAATTATGAAAATATCTTCTATAATAGGCACCAATGCTACAGGCATTACTGATCCAAGAATTTTAAAAGTCTTGATACGCTAGTTGGATCTTTCAATGTGAACTCGAGCTTTAGCTATTTTAGCTGTTAAATTAGACTCTTCTTTACTAAACTGTTTTTTATCTTTTAAAAACGGAGGTCTTACACATTTCCAGCCATTTACTTCACACACTTCATCAATTAAGAATCCTCGATCAACCATTATTGCATCACCACGTTCTAGCAAGTGAATCAGATCACTTTGCTGAAATATTGGTGAATCCGTTGCTCGTCCTCCATAAGGTTTGCTGACAAATGTTATATTGCCTGCTGGTGAAACACCGGTCATTATTTTACACGTTTGTGCACTTTTATAGTAAGAGTAGGTTAAAATCTGGCAACAAAGTTGTGCAGGTCTTTGAATAAACACTTCAGTACAGTCCAAAACAACTCGAACATTCTCAAAAGATTCAAAACACTCAGGAATGTTTCTGCGTATCTCCTCTCTTGATGGCCATGGTATTGCTGCTTTTAAACAAGTGCTTAACATCTTCACAGTGTTATAAAATATACATTGGCAATGTTTTGCTGAGTAACATTTAAATATTAATGCTAGGAAACTGTATGATAAATTTTGTTTTAATTTAATAAATGTCATGATTACTCTTTCTTTTAAAGTCAATTTCATGTTTCTTTCTTTATCATCTTTGACATGAGCTACTATTTTTACAATTGTATTAAGCACTTGAAAAGATTCTATACCTGTTGCAGTGCTTAATTCACTGTCAGTTGTTATACTATCACAAAACTTTGGTTTTTGAATATCTATCACATTCACTTGCACTTCAACATCTTTAAATGAAGGAGCAGGAAAATTTTTTGTTATACATGATTGTATTTTCACTTCTTCGTTATTTTCTCTGTTTTGATATTCATTATTAATTTCATTTTCATTATCTTCATGTATGTCTATATTTACTTTCACTGAATTTATTTCAGAAGATGGTTGATCTATCACTGATTCATTTGTTGTTGATGTTAATAATGATGATGACGATGATGCTGTTGCTGTGCTTCTCTTTAACCTTCTTTCCAATCTTGCTTGGTTTGTTTCTATCTTTTTTTTATTTGTTCCTGGCAAATTGCAGGAAGGAACTGCTGTGTTTTTTAAACGTCACGAAACATTATTTATTTTTAAAGCAATTTTTCACGCTTTTAATTTATTCATTTGTTCCAATTTGTCAAACGAATTTGTTATGTTAACGACGCGTTCATTCGGCTTTGGAAATATGTGGAAACAAAGCTCTAAATTTTTACTTGCTTTACTGTTACAATCTCTCACTGCACAATAATCAAAATTTTTCTTTTTTTCACGTATGGGAAAAATTGCACCCTCCATAATGTTTCTTACAGTTGCTTACAGTAATCCAAATGTACTTTACAGTAATTACATGCAAGCATTGAGTATTTCTACTTTTCGGCAGTAGACGGCGCCACCAAGAATGTCAGATCCCAATATGCGTACTGAAGTGTGAGAATATGGCGGTCCCATTGGCGGTGGTCGCGCCCGACGAATTGACCAATCATCGTCTTAACCGTCTTATTCGTCCTCTCAACCGGATTACATTGTGGCGTATATATCGGCGTCGTGCGGTGCTTTATCCCGAAAGATTTTAACAGGCCGTTAAACTGGCGGGACACGAACTGCTTCCCGTTGTCCGATATGACAAGCTCGGGGCAGCCGTGCCGGTATATGATTCGCTCGGTTATCGCTTTGCATATGGCCTTGTTTGTGGCCTTGCACAGGGGTTGTAACTCAACCCATTTAGTAAACCGATCTTGTAACACAAAAAGCCATGAGTGGCCGCTCGTGGAGTGGGGTAGCGGCAGTGTTGCTAGACGGGACGCTTTTTCTCGCGCATGCGCAGCGCTGCAGCTATGAATCCAGCGGTGTATACGGCTTATAGTGTTGGGTGCTGGCGCGAAAAGTTAGACGTTTGACAGACTACAGGAGAAGGTTAGGTGAGTACATGTAAAAAATAATAATATTTATATCATATATATATTTATATGTATTTTTTGTTACGCGAAATATGGATAATTCAAAAGGAGCCATTAAAAAGACGCATATTAAAAATTTTAAAATTCTTGGTTAGCTGACGATTTATTTAAAGGATGGCTGGCTCCTCATTCTATGGAAAATAAGGCAATTTGTAACTTGTGCAATATTACCATTAGATGCTGTAAATCAGATTTAATACGGCATTCACAAAGGCCTAAACATATTAAAAATTGTGACAGTAATTCTCAAATAAGTTAAAGCCAAAGCCAACATTCCAAAAATTCTCATATTGAAAACGTTAAGCGAGCCGAAATTAAATTAGCAGTTTTTATTCTGAACATAATGTTGCTCTTTATACCACAGATCACTTAGTTCCTTTGTTAAAAGACATTTGTATAGATTCTTCAATCGTGCAAGATCTTTCACTGGCTCGATCAAAGTGCACCAATATTATTAAAGAAGTTCTTGCAAAGCGGGAAATTGAGAAAATTGTTAACATTTTACAGAATCAAAAATTTTCAATTTTAATAGATGAAAGCACGGATATTGAAGATACTA